TCTCCAGTCCCCCCGAAATGGATCTAAACCAGAACCACCCCTTTTAGGAAAATGGTGGGTCTATAACCTATGGCGCCTCCTATCGGAATAGAATGACACTGTGCGTCTTATCCTGACTCTGCGGAGTAAAATCCAACCCATCTACATCAAATCAAGAAATGCTGCAAATCCCTGCGAACCCCAGCGGAGCCGGGGGGCGGGGCGGGGGGGCAGTTCAAGGAGTCCAGGTTTTACTGCGGATTCTTTGGCGCTGGCTCTTAACTGACAAATCAACATCTCAATCTGACAATTAGTGGTTGGGGGTGGTGGTAGGGGGGTGAGGAGAAGGGCTCTTGCTGCCCGGGCCGCCCAGAGGTGGGCGGTGCTGGCAGTGATGAACGACTCATGGAGGGGGGCAGGGCCCCGAGCGCGCATTCGTTACTCCACTGACAGGCGGATGGGGGCCGGGCGGGCGGCAAGTGGACGTGCAGGGAAAACAGGCCAGTGGCAGAAGGCGGAGCAACGGAGCATTTAACAGTCCCACCGCTCCTCTGCTCCTGGTTCTTCACTTCGACCCTGGTACTTGACTTCTTGAACTTGGCCTCCCAGTTGTTGGAGCTCTTCTTAATTATTGAATTAGGGAATCAGGGACGGAGACCCAAACTTTGCCCTTGGATTAGGCGATTTAAGGTCAGATACCAAAAAAGGGTGTAGGCAGGACTGGATGCTTTGGCATGACTTGATGGTGTGCACCATGTGTTAGCAGCAGTGACTATGCGTGTCATTGCCAGCAATGTGCCCACCTGGTTTTATCCGTGGAGGTGTGAGCTTGATGTGGGTGAGGATGAGCCACCCCCGCCCCCAGCTTGCTGTCAGTTCTGTCTGCAGTTCTGAAGGAAATGTCATGCTAGAGTGACAGCTGAGGTGTGCTGCTTAGGTTGTGTGTGATATATATTAACCGTGAGAGTGCTGGTCAGGACAACTGATTCCTTCTTCCACCTTCAGCACAAACTTTCCTTCCTCAAGTAGTGAAAGCAGGGGACCCCCTCCCCCCAGTATATGTACCAGCCTCCAAAACAAGATGTGATCTCCAGTCCATCTTGGTCTACACAGGTGGGTAGTGGTCTGAAAGAAGGAATATTGATCAAGACATCTGTGTGGTGTTCATAATGGGAGAGGCTAGACCTTTTGATTTCTAAGAGAATCTCTCTCTCCACAGTCTGGAGAAGCAGTCACTGCTAGAAACATAATCTTTGGAATCTTAGGCCTAGTTAGTTGCTAGTTGACACCTTAGGAGGATAATACTAAATACACTATAGTCATCTCTCTTCACCTGGCTTTGTCTCTACTTTCCTACTTCATTCACAAACATTCAAGAAGTTGAGGCTGGCGCCTCTCCAGTCCTGAGCCTACAGAGAGGGGGATTCTATTCAGGGAGTCTTTAAGACACCTTCCATTTGCCTCCCCAGGGCTGGATTTTCCTTGATTCTGCTACATCTTTGCCCCCCCCATCTTTGTGTTGCTATGTTTCAACCTTTGGGGATCTCTTCCAAATTTGTCTCCCCCAATTTGGAGGGGGCATCTTTGTTCCTCTTGGGGCTCCTCCCTCTGGGAATACCCCAGTGCAATAGTGAAGTCTTGTGGGATGAACGCGGCAGGGGCAGACTCTTCTTGCCACCATCCAGAGGCAATTGAGAAGCCAAGATGACTAGGCCATGCCAGGGCACACCCGGGTCGCTTCTCATTCTGGGCACAGACGCCTGGTCGATGCCCTGCTGTCCATTCCCCCTTGCAAACGGCCCTCCTCCTGGCCCCCGCCCCCTCCGCCCGCCTGGAAAAGGCAAATTTGACATTTTTAAATCCCGAGCCTTAGAGGGATCGATGCGGCCCAAGGGCCCCGCCCGGGGTCGATATTCCTGATTGGGAAGCGGCCGCTGCGCGGGGCCCGCGTGTAAATCACTCGGACCGGGGTGGCGGGGGGAGGCTCGGAGAACCTACTGGGTCCCAGGCACGCTGAGCCAGGCAGGGTCCCTGCACCCCCAGGACCAGGGGCGACCGAATGAGAACTACGGGATTTAAAGAACCAGAGAGGCTCCCTCCCAGGCCTCTCCCCTCCCCCCTTCTAGCCCAGCCAGCTCCCGAGGCCGACTCAGGTCTCGCTTCAGCGGCCTCCATCCTCCGTTGCCCCTGGAGCCGCGAGGGAGGCCGGTGTCGGAGCCAGCCAAGCGGCGGCGTCTCCTCTCCTGCAGCTCCCGCGGGGCCCGGGCTTCGGCGGCGGCTGTCACGGAGCCGACAGGCCGGGCTGGCGGGGGGGGGGGGGGGGGGG